GGTTCGAACGCATGCAAAAGTGTATAGATCATAAAGGAGAATATTTTGAAAAACAATAAAGTCATTTTCAATGACAAATTACTGTTTTTTTATTATTAGACTCAAAATATAAATAGTGCCCCTCGTATTTTCAGATTTGATTGCGTTGAAAGTCCGACAACCATATCGGCACGCAATTATAATTTCTGAAAATTAATTCATTTAAATGAATTTACAATAGTTCAACATCTTAACGTTCTGACCGTTATGGCGCTTCTTAATTTAAAGCATTGTAGTTACATTAGCGGTCTTTCAATCTTATTATTGTCAAATTGATAAGATTAATCAATAGATCATTTTCAATCCTACAACTTTTGTATAAAACATTTTTCTCAAAAATGATTACTTTTCAAGATATTTAAGGGGTCGGGGACTTTTTCTACACTCTGTGTATATATATATATACACATTCATATATGTTCAGAATCCAGATTAGGTTTGAATTTCGCGCCGAGTTTCGCGCGCGATACGTTATGCAGCGCGAGACGCTAATAAAGACAAAGCGTTCTCATAATAAATAATTGAGGTGCCTACGAGGCGGCCAATTGGAATACGAAAGAGATACAATTTATATTTTAACTAAATAACACAACATCATGGTTCTAGATCGTTCTAATTTTTATGTAACTTCAATGAATCGAATTCTACAAGATTCGAGAACGATTTGGAATCACGATATTATAAAAAAAGGGGTGTCATTAGTTCGCTCTCAATTTTGTGCCACACGTTACGTTTAATTGTGATATCAACGCGTTACATCGTGTTATCTCCGTTTCTTGCGGAGCCTGCGCAGGAAACGTGTAAAAGTTCTCAGTGAATTAAGGAATATTTTTAATAAATCGAATTAAGTCAGTGTATATGTAAAATATTTCAAAAACTTGCGTGTTGTCTACGTTACTCCATCCTGTATCCTGCGGTGTCGTAACATTATTTTTGGTCCTTCGAACCGGATTTCTTCACATTCTGGCGTGTATAATCAGCAGCATCACGGACTGTGCAGCTTAAAGACGTTTCTGTGCATAAACTTGTAAAGCATAAGGCGATGGAACAAAAGAAGGCAATGAAGGCACTGGTTGAAGCGCAAGTAGAACTGTATGGGCGCATCTCGCGCACATACGATAATTTAAGGAAAGTCGGCGCATTTAAACTCACAAGGGCATTCATCACCACTACTATCAATTTTCTTGCAAAGTAAAAAAAGTTTGAAGAACAGCATGATTGTCTTCGTTGGAACTATCTTGCTGATATCAAGGAACATGAATATCATACAAAGGATTTCGTGGAGACGATAGAAGAAATATAAATACGTCGAGCACTACCAAATTGCACGTGATGTTCAACGCTGATCACGACGGAAGGAGATTCCTTCAACAAGCATCTGATGATTGGACCAAACTTTGCTTTCGCTCGCTGACACGATGCATTCTGATGCGATGGTGATGGCACAGATATGTCTTCGTGGAAACATCGAAAAAATGTACCGACAAATCCTGATATATCCGGATAATCGGGACCTGCAGCGGATTATGTGGAGAGATGATCAGGAGGAGGCAATCAGCGAGCAGTTGAATACAGAGTAACGTATGGTCTTTCATGTGCTCCGTATTTGGCGATACGTACCTTGCGACAGCTGGCTGAGAATGAGGGTGCGTTATTTCCGAAAGGGGCCGTCGCGCTGCAGCGGGATGTACGTCGATGATATTTTCATCGGAGCGGTAACGTTGGAAGAAGTCCATGAAGTTCAACGTCAACTGATGGGCGTTTGCACAGCCGGCGGCTTTCCATTAAAGAAATGGGCTGCCAACGACGCATCTCTTTTTGTTCGGATGCTCAATCGGATTCCCACGCATGGCGGCAGCATCAAGGCCACTCGGCCCTCAGATTGCAGTGGCACCCGAGTTCCGACTCTTTCATGTTCTTTAACAAATTTCCCGAGATCATATTTAAGCGAACGATGGTGTCCTAGCTCCACCTAGATGGTGCACAGCTCTTTGATCCATTGGGATGGTTAGCTCCGGTGGTGGTACAGGCTAAGATTCGTATCCAATCAATTTGTTTGCAGGGACTGGACTGGGACGTTCCGATGCCCGACAACGACTCAATGGAAAACATTCTGCGGGAGCTCATGCAGCTGTAGAGGCTTGAGGTACCTCGGTGACTTTGGAGTTCCCCTTCCAGTGATTCATTGGAGATTTATGGCTTTGTGGATGCCTTCGAGAAAGTCTTTGGTGCGGCGGTCTATCTGTGGAGAAGAGAGGCATGGAGTGGACGATCTCACTTGTGGCAACTAAAACAAAGGTGGTTCCACTAAAACAGGTTTCACTCCCTCAGTTGGAGCTGTGTGCGGCAACATTCTTAGTGCTCTTGGTTTCGCACGTGCAGGACGTGCTCGGCTTGTCGAATAGTGAGACTCATCTGTGGTCGGATTCGATGGTCACGTTGAGTTGGATTCGAGGGTTTGTAATTGGATCCGTCACGCTGGCTGACATTTGTGGCGAATAGAGTGACAAAAATTCAAGGAGCTTCCTAACGCACAGTGACACCGTGTGATGGGATTGGACAATCTAGCGGATTGTGCGTCACGAGGCATGTCTCTCAGTGCCCTTGAACACTTTAATTTGTAGTGGAAGGGACCTCCATGGTTGACAGGCTACTCAAGTCCATGGACATCTGCCCCCCCATTCCTGGAAAATCACGACCTTTCAGAACAACGCAATAAGTCTCACATTTCAGCGACGCGTTCAATTCCTGTAGAGCCTGAAACCTTACAGAGGTATTCCTTCTTGCAGAAATTATTTTGAGTTACAGCTTGGTATCTTTGTTGGCGATTCTTGCGTGATGGCTCTCAGAGTCAAACGATGGAGGCCATCGTTTTTTTTTGTTTTGCGTAGGAGGAGAAAATCTTCGTACACCCCGATTAGGCAATCCTCCCTTGCGGGAGTTTGAACCTAACCTAACCGAAGGAAGATATCCGCGCGCGGTGGTTGTGCCGGATTCGGACTTCGTTTCTGGAGAGTGCGGCTCAGATCAAACCCGACTTTCGTCGAAGGGCTACTCGCTGTCGGGTCTAATTCCGTAAGGATAGGTCCAGCTTTCGCACCAGGTGACTACTCGACGGGACCAATGTCAATCTTGCCATCACCCATCCAGGTCCGCCTACCAACTAAAAACTCCCCCTTTTCCCTGCACTTCTTCCATGCACGTAGGGGATTGCCTCGGAACCACCGACTGGTATTACATCAGGGCAATCCCCGATGCATATGGGACGGCTCCCACCTGCCGTGCGGATCCTCCTAGAATTGTGATAGCGATAACCTATTTTAATTCATATTTACATTCATATACGAGGGTCGTCTGAAAAGTTTTGAGCCTAACATAGAAACAAGTAATTTTTCGGTCAAATTCAATTTTATTTTTCCACATAGTCTCCTTTTAAGTCGATACATTTTTTCCAGCGATGCTCCCATCCTTTTAATCCATTCAAATAATACTGAGCGTCTTGCTTTGCAAAATAGGCTACGGATACGATGACCTTCTCGTTCGATGAAAATTTCTGTCCTCCGAGCCAAACTTTGAGCCTAGGAAACAGAAAAAAGTCGCTGGGGGACAGATCTGGTGAATACGGTGGATGGTCAATTAATTCGAATCGCAATTCATAAATTTTTATCATGGCGACTGCTGATATTCGATTTTTTCCATTTTTACAAAAACATTGACATTGACTGGCATAAATGACTGTCAAACAACAACTAAGCGCCGGAAGTAGCTACAATTTTCGCAGGTATCTTTCAAAGTATGTACGATTATAGTACCAAAATTGTTTTAACGAGTAATGCCATCTTCATGTTGAGGCTCAAAACTTTTCAGACGACCTATGTATACATTATGTACATTCCTCGTCTAGTCGGAGGATCCCGGTGGGGGAGGGGGTGGATCGGGTCGAAGTTCTTTACGAATCCTCCTCACCCCCTTGTGTTCCCTTTCCGCTTCCTCCTTTCTTCTTATGACTATCTCGCAATAATTCGCGAATGCTGTCCACGCACTGGCGGAGCCCACGATGGCCCCGATCGCCCGGGTGTACTCTCGGTCTAAATATAAATCCAGACCGAGAGCCACGAATAAATTCCTTCTCTCCACTGCCCATAAGTGGAGGAGGGTGTGCACCGCGTTATCCCGCGCCGCCATACAGTGTTGACAGATCGGTGTTTCTGCCTTATTTATCTCAGATAAATACACTTCAAAACATCCATGTCCCGTAATCACCTGAGTCATACGAAACGTGAGGCCACCGTGAGCTCTCGCCATCCATTCGTGCAGTCGGCCGACAAGCGCCTCCCGCACCGCGGCTCCCGGCGCACCACGAGGTAGTTTCTCGTACCTATTTCGCCACCTATCGATCGATCTTTTAATCTCCTCTTCTCGGATCCTATCCATGATTTTAGGAGCCACGAATCCGTGCTGCCTTAGACACGCCCGTCGCCTCAAATACGATCGCCTAAGGCGATCGGCAGTAAGATCGAACAGCACCATACGCGCCAGTAACAGTGCCGTCTCATGTGATATCATTCTGTAACCCCTAATCATTCTCAATGCCAGCTGCCTTTGCAGCTTGGCCGCGTTTCTTCTAATGGTAGCATCGGTCATAACTGCTTGTGCCCAAATAGAGGCCCTGTACAACACGAATGAAAGCACTACTCCGGCGTAAAGACGACGCCTACACTCACCGGTCTCCCTATGTTGGCCGTTAGTCTCCCCAGGAATACCGCCATGCCGAGGGCCTTAGGGAGAATGCATCTGAAATGCTCCCTAAACGTCCATTTGGAGTCGAGGACCAGACCCAAGTACTTCATTGTGGTCTGGATCTCGACTTTCACGTTCCCGATTTTTAGCTTCGCGCGTGGCACACTCCACGCGAACCGAATCGTCTCAGTCTTGGTCATCGATACGCTTAGATCGAGCCGCTCTATTGTCCCTAGCATAACGGCAGCCCCGAGTTCCGCTCTGATTAACGCCAACCCAAAGGACAAACCCCTCCCCACAAGGAGGATATCGTCCGCGTAACATAGGACCGAACAGCCTATCGGCAGTCTAGTTCGCAAAACGGAGTCGTATCCGACATTCCATAATGTCGGTCCCAGGACAGAGCCCTGTGGGACCCCGCACCTCATCGGATATCTTATATATCTGTTTTTCCTGTCCATATACGTCAACCATCTGTCGAACAGATAGCTATCAATGATATTCCGGAGATATCCCGGAACCTCTTTCTATAAGCGCGTTTTTGATGACGCGCCACGGGAGGGAGTTGAAGGCATTGACAAAAGACAGCCACGACCACCACCCCCTCCCGCACCACGTCATCCACCATTTCGCGTAACCTCCAAAGGGTATCCACCATAGATTTATTTGGTCTAAATCCATACTGAGATTCCAAAATATCTCCGGAACCATCCAGGAAATCTGTGAGTCGGCTGCACACAACTCGCTCAAGCAGCTTGCTCGCCTTACTTAGCAGGCAGATCGGCTTATACGATGACGGTGAACCGTCCGGCTTCCCTGGCTTCTTGAGCAGTACCAGCCGCGCAATCTTCCACTCACGCGGGAAGATTCCATCCCTAAGGCACGCCGTAAAGCACCTCATCCATCGTCCGACTAGGACGTTTATAACATCTTTCACTACGCGTCCATTAATCCCATTGGGACCGAGTGCCTTTCCCATCTTCATCCTCCTAGCGGCCTCCAAGACCTCCTCGCCCACTACCGCCAGAGTGTCATCCCACCGGGCCGGGGAGGAAGGCTCAACACCCCCATCCCCCGTATCCGCTGGGAATAACACTTCGACCACCTCCTCTACCACTGCAGGCTGGAGAGTCTCGGTGAGCCGGGGAGCACCCCCCGCAACTTATTAAGAACAATGCAATATGGCATACCCCAGGGATCCCTGTCCAGAGTATCCAAGAGGCCCCGCCACAGGCTTATCTTGGATCTCCTAATGGCACCCCTAAGAGCACTCCTCACGTCCCTCAGCTCTGCCCAGAGACCCCGGACCGTCTCGGAGTCCTTATACCTTTTCCGTCGTTTAATTATTCTTCTGCGGACCTGCATACAGCGAGTCCGCAATTCCGCGATCTCTTCATTCCACCAGTAAACCGACGGTCTACCGGTGGACCTCACACGCGGCATTGAGACGTCCGATATCTCCGCCAGTGCCCTGCTCAATCCGCCAGCTAGGAACTCAGCCGCCACATCCCCATGAGGGGAAGGGCAAGCCTTAATGCTGACCGTCGCGTTGAGAAGATCAATGTTTATCTTACTAATATTCCATCGAGGAAAGTACCTATCCGACTTATTTTTTCTAGGAGGACCAACTACGCATTCTTGTACCCTCATGAAAATGTAGCGGTGATCCGAAAGGGACTCGATGTCCACCGCCACCTGCCAGCCACCGATCATTCGCGCCACTGAAGAGGAGGCCATTGATAAGTCAATGCTCGACTCCCTCCGTGGATGCACGCAAGTGGGAACAAAACCATCGTTTAGCAAAACTAGGTCGAGGCTCCCAGTCCACTCCGATATGATCCTTCCCCTACTATTAGCTTTGCCCATATCGCACGCGGGATACCTGGCGTTAAAATCTCCTAGTACCAATACCGGCTTTTGCCCACACGACATTACCCGATCACCCAGGTCATGCAATTTCCTTTTGAAATAAACGTCAGGTAAACTGGGGGAGAAGTAGCAGCTAAACACTACCACTCTCCCCCATTCTACTGAGACGAATCCCTCCCCCCTATAGAGAGGAGAACATGGTATATCCATACAGGAATACTGCCACGTGATCGCGGTCGACGGCGGATCATCCAGCGATAAGACTCAACAATCACTATCAATCACCGAGTGCGGTTCGGAGATCGCAACAATTCCTAAACGTTCCTCCTCGCATACTCGCGCCACCAGGTCCTGCGCGGGCCTTGAGCTGTTAACGTTGACTTGTGCGATATTAGCCATTGGGAGGTTATCCTATCCTCCACCATAGGAATATCCTCCAAAATTTACTAGTCGAGTCATTTTCTCGCGCTCCATTTTTATTTGCATTGTAAATCATCGTCTCGTCGATCACTGCTTTCATCGGGCTATTATAGGGAGCACAACCGTCTCCTCCCGCCCTATGCCCAGCAGGCATATTTCTTCCCGCGCACACCGGACAGTGAGGTGAGGTCCTGCATCCACCAGCCTTATGACCTTCTTTACCACAATTGAAGTATATATTGCTCCTATCAATAGCGCTCCTACAATTGACCCTAGTGTGTCCGACAGCGAGGCACCTGTAACATTGGAGTCTCCTCTTCGCGAGAGGCACAACTCGTATTTTAGACCATCCTATTCTAAGACCGCCGGTCTTCGTAAATCCTTCCGCACATGTAATGGGGCATTGAATCCAGGCGGTGTTCATTCCTCCCCTTCCTGGTCTGAAAGGACCCACTTGAACATCCTTTGGCTGAGCCTTCCCATGTGTGCCACAGCCTCAGCAATCTCCCGAGCCGTAACTGACTCGTCTAAGTCGAGGAGGCCGAATTCCACCTTCCTTATCGGTCGCACAATTTTAATTCCTGCACGGGCTTTAAAGAGAATACCAAGTCGCTCCGCAAGGGAGTCAGTTTTAGACGTGGCGTCTTCCCCCGGGATCTCTACCAGAAGTCCCACAGATTGTGCTCGCTTTACCTTAGTGTTCGCGATGCCAAGTTTATCCAGAGAGACTCTGACTCTTGTTTCTTCCATAACATCCGTGTATGAGGGACCCCCCTCCTCGCATCAAATCATCACCGCAGCTGTGGTTTGCTTTCGCATCCCTGCACGCACTGCACTCTTGGGGGGGACCACCGCTTTTGTCCTCTCATTAGGGCGGACCCGAGAGATCCTCTCCGACATCGCCGCATTGTTACTGCCACCCCGCACCACTGTTGCAAATGTCCTACCTCTCTTTTGGTTTTTAATACGGTTTTCGACATTTGACGCCATTATATCAGAAGCATGCACTCGCGTCCTACCACTATCCTCGTCGCTCGGTATCACTTTTTTCTTCTTCCTGCTTCTCTTCCTAGTGATGATTTCCCATGGCTTATCTTTTTCGGGTCCAGAAGATGGGAGCCATTCAGTGGGATCCTTATCCGGTCTGTCTCCTGTTCGCTAGACATCGCCTCCAGAACAATACGCCCCTTCTCATCTATCAATTTTCTTTTTACCGAGGAACCCTCCAGGATAATCCTGGAAATCCCCCTTAAAGGAAGACGATGTACCGGAGGCAAATCTTCCGTTCCTCGTGAGAAAGTCCTGCTCCGAGAAGAGGCATGTGAGGGTCCGGCCACCTTGTCCACACTTGTGTCCTCATACTCACTTCTTCTTTCCCTCTCCGTTCCAGTTTGTAACTTACTACTGGTAAGTTCTCTCCTAAGACTCCTAACCTCCACACGGAGATTATCTCTATCCTTCTGGATAGTCACCATTTGTTTCTTTAGTGCCTCAATCTCCCGTTCTAGCTGAAGACACCTTCCACTTATTACTTCGGCCGGTTCTTGGGCCCTAGCTGTATTGACAGCCAGTTGCTGCACTGCCTGTCTAGCCACTTCTACACCAACGATAATCTGGTGTCTTAGATCACCCTTCATTGATGAAGTTTTCTTTTGGGCTCCATAGGCCGCATTTAGTACCCGTAATGTCTCAGTCACTATGGTCTTCGGTGACATTTGGAGAAACAGATAAGTTATTTCATCCACTGCCTTTTTCTGCTTATATGACAGTGAGTCGTCCTGGACACTCCTGCAATTTTCTCTTTTTCCCCATCTGCCGGTCTTTCTTTGTAATTTTGAAGAAGTCCGGATTGTCCAAGACATCGTCTTCATATCCGTCCATTCTGGTGGCATTCATCTTAGAAAACGACCTACTACCCGGTATGTTGCTACCTTTAGGTTTACGACCTCTCTTTTTTCCTCGAGGTCCAACGAGGTCCGTCGACGTGATGGAGTCCGTTGACATGGTCTCTTCAGTGATATCCATTATAATAGGCGCGTCGGAAGCCTCAGCTGCCGTGATAGGCGAGTTTATGATATCTCCGTCCATTACACGTAATCTCAGTTCCCTAGAAATTTTATGTTTGACACAATCCTGGGTCCAGGTCCCTTATCACTGGTCTTAGTTTCATTGTCTTAGTTTCATAATTATTAATACAATCTTCTGACTATTAAGGACCGTATCATCACCTCTATTCGCTTCACTTCCCCCACTGATTGATGACCTCTCTAATTTCAACCTGGGTTTCTCATACCTAGCAGAGTACTCTTTTGTGAATCAGAAGTGAGCGTCGTACATACCCCCCAGTCCCTGGTGTCACTTGTACCTTCAGCGGTAACCATATCGGCCGCGGAGCCCGCCGGCAACCACACGACCAGCCTCTCGCTTGATTCTCCTACAATTATGGAGGTCGATCGCCCGGTAGCGGGGACGCTACCCCCGGGAGACCGTGGCGAGGATCCGAACACCCGCTGTGTATTATTCTTTTTCCTTGTGCTGTCCATATTGTATATGTTACCGACGATGAAGAGATTGGGTGACTCGCCGGTAGATCACCCAACCCGTCTCTAGCTAATTCCGCGACCCTTATGCGGACGACCACTCGGTGACGACACCACCGAGCGACCTTCATATGGGGGTGTACCAAAGTCTAGGTAGTGTGACTTACCCCCATCCTAGCTATTACATCCTTGTCACAGTATGGACTCCCACACACCTCTAGGATAGGGAGTAAAACAGTAAAACCGAATCGAATAACCCACATCCTGGAGTTTTCATCCCGCACAAAGGAGATCTCAATCACCACCTCCGTGTCCGGCCCTTAAGTAGCATCCGTCTGATGTCGACCAAGTCCGGAACGAGGCCAGCAACCACTAACACATTTACCCTGGGTCTTTGCGATCGAAAGACACCACCGCGCGAGCACGAATGGCCAATACTGATCCAAGACCAATCTATCATGCCTCGCTCATGAGACACAATCAGATCAGTTTCGCGGGAAAAACGCGCCGCACACAAAGTTTCCGACACAGACCCGACTTCCATTGTCCTTAAACTGTACTTTGTCTATTCAGTCTTATAGCCTATGACATATTGTCTTAAAAGTTATCATACACATTTCATGTTCACTATTTACAACTATATACACCTTCCCTCAGTCACTAGCGTCCCTGCGCTCCCGTCTTGGCCGCTATTGAGTAGTTCACTCACCATCCATTTATCTCATAGCCGCGCACCTCTATGAGATAGGGGGACCTTTTATAGAGGGTCCAGCTCGTTGTCCGAGAGGTCGGGTGCAATCTCGGACACTCGGTCTCTTCCAGTAGTGCAAGGGAAGAGATTACGAGAGCTCAGGCACCGCGGGTTTGCTATACCCGTAGTGGAATCATATCAGATTGCGCCCGAATAGATCGGTCCGCATCGGAAATGATCCCACCCCTTGCGGGGAGAGGCCATCATTTGACTCTAAGATCTTATCCGTGTCAGAGGTGGGCCGAGCGCTCAAGAGTTGGATCAGGGTGATGCAGATCTCAAATTACGGAGATAAACACAATAACAAAGGAGAGACTAATAAGCAAGAAAAATACTCATCAAATTAAGCCTTGTGAACTCTCAAAGCATTCTCAGAATCGGAGACCGATTTAGACATTCACTTCTGACTTGCGACAAAAAACACCCTGTCATTCTATTTAAATCTTCCATACTCACTGTTCTCATAATTGATTCCTGCCATTTTAGGACGCTTCACGGGGGTGAGCAGCAAACCCTGGGGACTCCTTAGACAGCAATTTTGAATTCCCTGTGGGCGTCAAAAATCATATTCATCGATACCTCTGGTGCTTGCGATGGCGGGCGGCATTACCACAACCCTTGATGAGTGATCTTCGCGTGACACCGTCGCGTCCTTTCCAACATACAGGAGTGGACTATGCTAGTCCTATAATACTGCGGATAATTCGAGAACAAGGACATAGGGCGTACACGGCATACATCATTGTCTTTGTGTGTCTTTGCAGAAACACATCTTGAGGCAGTATCAGACTATACGACAAGTATCAGACTCTCCTAGCCGACGGTTCTACGACGGTTCATCTCCTGCCACAGAAGGTGCCAGATTCTCTACTTGGACTGCGGTACCAATTTCGTGGGTGCAGACGCAGATCTTCGGAGACTGTTTAGCGCTAGCAGCGCGGACGCGCGCCAGATCAGCCATGCCTACAGAGAAAATAATACAGTGGCATTTTAATCTACCTCGCTACTCCGTACTTTGGTGGGCTCTGGGAAACGGCAGTAAAGTCTCTCAAACATCATCTGAGGCGAGTAATTGGAGATTCCACTCTCACTTTCGAGGAAATGGCTACATTTCTCGCTCAGGTAGAAGTGTGCTTCAACTCACGACCTCTTCATCCTCTGAGCGATGATCTGGAGGATCTCGTGGCTCTCACACCAAGCTACTTTCTTGTGGGTTAAGCTCTTACAGCACTCCCAGAGCCAACACTGTCGAATGTGCCAATATGTCAACTCATCCTCTGGCACCACGTTCAGCAATTGCGCACACATTTCTGGGATCGGTGGTCTAAGGAATACATGCACAGTCTAATTAC